AAACAAAAAGTTGGTTCTTTGAAAAAATAAACAAGATCGATAGACCCCTGGCAAACCTGACTAAAATGAGGAGAGAAAAAACCCAAATTAGTAGAATCAGGAATGCAAAAGGGGAGATAACAACAAACACCATGGAAGTCCAGGAAATCATCAGAGACTACTTTGAGAACCTATATTCAAATAAATTTGAAAATCTAAAAGAAATGGACAGATTTCTAGATACATATGATCATCCAAAACTGAACCAAGAGGAAATTAATCACCTGAATAGACCTATAACACAAAATGAAATTGAAGCAGCAATCAAGAGTCTCCCCAAAAAGAAAAGTCCAGGACCTGATGGATTCTCTGCTGAATTCTATCAGACCTTTAAAGAAGAACTGATACCAACCCTCCTTAAACTGTTCCATGAAATAGAAAGGGAAGGAAAACTGCCAAACACATTTTATGAAGCCAGTATTACACTTATCCCAAAACCAGGCAAAGACACCTCCAAAAAGGAGAACTATAGGCCAATCTCCTTAATGAACATTGATGCAAAAATCCTCAACAAAATAATGGCAAACGAATTCAGCAACACATCAAAAAGATTATTCACCACGACCAAGTAGGCTTCATCCCAGGGATGCAGGGGTGGTTCAACATACGAAAATCAATAAACGTAATAAACCACATTAACAGAAGCAAAGACAAAAACCACTTGATCATCTCAATAGATGCAGAAAAAGCCTTTGATAAGATCCAACATCATTTCATGATAAAAGCTCTAAGAAAACTAGGAATAGAAGGAAAGTTCCTCAACATTATAAAAGCTATATATGACAAACCTACAGCCAGCATTATACTTAACGGAGAAAAACTGAAACCATTCCCTCTAAAATCAGGAACCAGACAAGGATGCCCACTATCTCCACTCCTATTCAACATAGTACTGGAATTCCTAGCCAGAGCAATTAGGCAAGAAGAAGGAATAAAAGGAATACAAATAGGTAAAGAAACTGTCAAAATATCCCTATTTGCAGACGACATGATCCTATACCTTAAAGACCCAAAAAACTCTACTCAGAAGCTTCTAGACATCATCAATAGCTATAGCAAGGTAGCAGGATATAAAATCAACATAGAAAAATCATTAGCATTTCTATACACTAACAATGAGCAAACGGAAAAAGAATGTATGAAAACAATTCCATTTACAATAGCCTCAAAAAAAATCAAATACCTAGGTGTAAACCTAACAAAAGATGTGAAAGACCTCTACAAGGAAAACTATACACTTCTGAAGAAAGAGATTGAGGAAGACTATAGAAAGTGGAGAGATCTCCCATGCTCATGGATTGGTAGAATCAACATAGTAAAAATGTCGATACTCCCAAAGTAATCTACATGTTTAATGCAATTCCCATCAAAATTCCAATGACATTCATTAAAGAGATTGAAAAATCTACTGTTAAATTTATATGGAAACACAAGAGGCCACGAATAGCCAAGGCAATACTCAGTCAAAAGAACAATGCAGGAGGTATCACAATACCTGACTTCAAACTATATTACAAAGCAATAACAATAAAAACAGCATGGTACTGGCACAAAAACAGACATGAAGACCAGTGGAACAGAATAGAGGATCCAGATATGAAGCCACACAACTATAACAACTTATCTTTGACAAAGGAGCTAAAAATATACGATGGAGAAATAGCAGCCTCTTCAACAAAAACTGCTGGGAAAACTGGTTAGCAGTCTGCAAAAAACTGAAACTAGATCCATGTATATCACCCTATACCAAGATTAACTCAAAATGGATCAAGGATCTTAATATCAGACCCCAAACTCTTAAGTTGATACAAGAAAGAGTAGGAAATACTCTGGAGTTAGTAGGTATAGGTAAGAACTTTCTCAATGAAACCCCAGCAGCACAGCAACTAAGAGATAGCATAGATAAATGGGACCTCATAAAACTAAAAAGCTTCTGTTCATCAAAAGAAATGGTCTCTAAACTGAAGAGAACACCCACAGAGTGGGAGAAAATATTTGCCAACTATACATCAGACAAAGGACTGATAACCAGAATATACAGGGAACTTAAAAAACTAAATTCTCCCAAAACTAATGAACCAATAAAGAAATGGGCAAGTGAACTAAACAGAACTTTCTCAAAAGAAGAAATTCAAATGGCCAGAAAACACATGAAAAAATGCTCACCATCTCTAGCAATAAAGGAAATGCAAATTAAAACCACACTAAGATTCCACCTCACCCCTGTTAGAATAGCCATCATCAGCAACACCACCAACAACAGGTGTTGGCGAGGATGCGGGGAAAAAGGAACCCTCTTACACTGTTGGTGGGAATGTAGACTAGTACAACCACTCTGGAAAAAAATTTGGAGGCTACTTAAAAAGCTGGACATCGATCTACCATTTGATCCAGCAATACCACTCTTGGGGATATACCCAAAAGACTGTTACTCCAGAGGCACCTGCACATCCATGTTTATTGCGGCACTATTCACAATAGCCAAGTTATGGAAACAGCCAAGATGCCCCACACTGACGAATGGATTAAGAAAATGTGGTATCTATACACAATGGAATTCTATGCACCATGAAGAAGAACGAAATGTTATCATTCGCTGGTAAATGGATGGAACTGGAGAACATCATTCTGAGTGAGGTTAGCCTGGCCCAAAAGACCAAAAATCGTATGTTCTCCCTCATATGTGGACATTAGATCAAGGGCAAACACAACAAGGGGATTGGACTATGAGCACATGATAAAAGCGAGAGCACACAAGGGAGGGGTGAGGATAGGTAAGACATCTAAAAAACTAGCTAGCATTTGTTGCCCTTAACGCAGAGAAACTAAAGCAGATACCTTAAAGCAACTGAGGCCAATAGGAAAAGGGGACCAGGAACTACAGAAAAGGTTAGATCAAAAAGAATTAACCTAGAAGGTAACACCCACGCACAGGAACTCAATGTGAGTCAATGCCCTGTATAGCTATCCTTATCTCAACCAGCAAAACCCCTTGTTCCTTCCTATTATTGCTTATACTCTCTCTACAACAAAATTAGAGATAAGGGCAAAATAGTTTCTGCTGGGTATTGAGGGGGGAGAGCCGGAGGGGGTGGAGTGGGTGGTAAGGGAGGGGGTGGGGGCAGGGGGGAGAAATGACCCAAGCCTTGTGTGCACATATGAATAAAAGAAAAATGAAAAAAAAAAATAACCAGTGGAAGGAGTCATAAACTTCCACCTCCTGACTCCCACTTGGCTTTTTCCATCCAGTTTATCCTGGTGCCTCCTCACCTCTATTGCCTAATTTTCAGAGATATTGGGTATGAATTGTCCTGGAACCTGAGCACAAAACTAAGAATTTTGACACCTACTTTCTTTTCCCATTAACAGGCCACATTGCTCCCTATAGGTCTCACTTTTCCTCTCTGAACAAAAGTGACAACCAGTGTGAAATGAGATAATATATTTGTATTATATCAGCCTAATCATGGTGGGCCCATCTATGAAACCCCAGAAGCCCATGGGTCTAGGATTACCCTCTAATATGATACATCGATGCTCAGGGAATATGCTTTAAAATGCAGGTTTTTATTATATTCAGAGCTGATAAGTCCAAGAGATCAGGAGACAGCTGCTAAAGAAAAGATAGCTTGCTACACAGAGTTCCCAAGATGGGGGTGGGAGGGAGGCATGTTACATCACACAAGGCCACATGGAAAAACACCATGCTGACCAGCAGGCAGAGGGAGTGAGGGCAACATGTGGCCAAAAGCTTTTATTGTGGTTTACACAAGAACAAGCATGATGAGCAGGTTTAGGATTGGCTAGTTTGAATAATTTCAGTAGGTTCTGGGATATAGGGACCGCCCCAGGTGTCTGGTACCTGGTTGGGATGCTTAGGGCAGGGGGTTTTAGCTGCCCGGAGTGTGACAGCCCATAAGTGAGGTGGCTGGGGTAGGCTCTGGGTTGGTTGGTTTGCATATAAAATGTGTACTTCTAGGCCAGGAACAGCCCAGTCTTGACAAGGGTAGTCCCTCCTAGGACAGCAGGTTCTAGATGTCAAAGCTTCAGAAATGCAGCAAACAGAAAGGCATGGTTAAAGCATCATGTTCTCAAGTCAGTATTTACTCCCTTCACACATGGTTGGGCAGACTCAGCATGTGGACAGGGGACTTCCATCATAGGCCCCTTCTGTAGGAACAGAAGTAAAGGTCAAGGTGCTCAAAGTGAAAGGATGTGAGAGAGCGATAAACTCCCAAACTGGAAGCAGGGTCAGGCATGCTACTCAGATAGGGAAAAATAATACTGCAGGTAAGCATGGTTCATGACCTTAGACTCTAACATCCCAGGGCACTTTTCCTGAGACTAAATGAAGCCCCAAGCTCTCTGAGTGAAGAAAATTACATTTGGATCCAGACAGTGCAATGGAACGAAGATTATTCTGCTCAAGTGCATTGACCTTTATCAACTGTTTCATCAGAATTTCTGGAGCATGAATCTGTGTTAGGCATCCTCCGCAACTGCGCATAGGAAGAGGTGCATTCCTTTCTGGCTGAAGTCACAGTATCGCTCTCAAGCATCCAGACACAGGGAAAGAAAATCAAATCCATACACTTTTGAAAACTAGTTAGGGAATCGTTGTAAGAGATAACAAAAATAGCAGTCAGGCTGCATGAATCTCTAGAGAAAACTGTTTCTTTTCCTGTCACTGACTGAAAAAACAATTACACTCCTAATATTCCTCAAACTGAGACATGAATTTAGCACCACATAACATATAAATTGCTGGTTTGAGTCTCTTCTTGCACTTTGGCTAGGTAATCAGAAAAGAATAGTTAGGCATACATACCCAAACCCATGCTCGTAAGAAAGGCAAAATGCTTTTAAAACCACATTACCAGGGTTTTAAAGACTGGGCAACATTTTACTATTTAAGAAAAATATTTATTTGCAAGAAATGGAAATACAAATGCATTACAATTTCAATTTATTTTTTTTAAAATAAGTACAAGTATTCTACAAAGCCTTTTTTTGGTATTTACTTAGCTATAATAAAGAATAAAAGGTCATAAAAACATGGCACTAGGACAGATAATAGACTCACAATGTACTTAGATTTAAACACTGTGGATCTATATAGCATGTTACCAGAGAGGAAAGCCTGGCTGTCAGCACAGACATTAAAGCTCACGATGATTGCAGTCCAGGTTCTGCTCACCACTGTGTGGAAAGGGCCACTCACAGAGTGTCACAGAGTGCTGGCACTTTCCAGACTCATGAAGCACTTTATCTGAAAGGGAGATTTTCTAAGCAGTATAGGCCAAGGGTGAAAAAGCTCATGTTTCTACCCAGTTGCTGAGCAAAGAATGGAATGAGAGCAAAGAAATGGAGCCTGGGCCCCTGGGTCCATTTTCCCACAAGCAAAATCTGCTAGCTGCAGCTCACAGATGATTGGGTGGAGGCTGACATCTGGGAGGCAAAGAACTGAGAACACTGCATAGCAGGGCCATCGCAGTAGGCAGAAGCTGTTTCCTGCCCAGAAAGCCTGAAAAAGTTAGCTGTGTGTCCTCAGAAGAGTCTGCTCGACCTAGTCCACAAATTACTGCACGTCCTGAATCACTTAGTTCTTTGTAACGATAGAGTCAACACTATTTACCTTTCACATTACCTATCACATTAAAAGACTTACTTATACCCAACACCTTAGTAAATACTTAAGAAATATTACTTCTCTTCCTTCTAGAAACCAAGACAAAACAAGGCATTCCTGAATTTTACATGGTCCCCAAATAATACAACAGGGAGTTGTTTTCCCCTGTGGTAAGCACTGACCCCTTCACCCAGAGGTAAGAAGCATTAATCTGCAAATGGGGCAAGTTCCCTCGCACTTAGAAAATGCTCTGCAGCGAGGATTTAGAATACCTTTAATCCCAGCTGACCATTTTTGTGATGTGATTGCTCTTCTACTAAATGGAATTTTTCTAATGGATTTAACCCTATTTCTTTTCCCCTGATGTGCAAATGTAATAGTGGCTCACTTTTAGGAAACCACTTGCAAGCCTTTGGAAAAAGCTTTCCCCATACTCACTTCAACACACACACACACACACACACACACACACACACAAACATCTCCCAGGGACAAGGGGTTCTTCACTCATCCTGGATTCATATATAAGGCACATTTGAGGCACGAAGAAGTACCTAAGAGGAATGTATATGTGAGAGAAACAGAGAGAGAGACACAGAGAGAGAGAGAGAGAGCTAGCACTTGGGGCTTTTGAAGAGCTACTGATTAACAGAGGTTTCCTCAGTCCCTCTTACTCCCCAACATTTCCCTGAGCTTCAGGCAGCACTCTTCCTTAGTAAAACTGAAAAGCCCAAGGTCTGACTGAATGAATGATCTGAAATTTGTTTCTGGCTCCTTCCCAGTCCTCATTTCACTGCCCCTCCTCCCAATCTCTCATATCACTGCCCCCCTGGGGAGCTCACTGTATCACACCTCTGCTGTCTCAGCTGAAATCTTCAAATAAAGAGACTCTCACTGGGGCACCACCTTTTAATGGCTTTGCAGGTCCTGCCAAGTTGAATGCAGGGATGCTGAGGTCTCTTACCCAGGTTTCTCGAGGACTTGACTCAACAGATACAACTTAGTGGATGGGGCAGATGAGGGGAGTCTCTTCCATTCCATGAGGTCAGGTTGGCAAGGCAAGCACAGATGGGCATTCCCAAACTGGGGATGGATGTCTCACTTCTGGACAGAGCACCCATGTGTACAAGACATGTGTGTCCAGAGAAGCTGCCCTGCAGAGTCCTCTGATTCCACCTTTCTGCTTTTTCTTGGTCTGAGCACACGGAAGGGAGGGACTATGAAATGCTAGAAAAAATTTTTTAATAAAACACAGGTGACAAAAATGTTGGACACTGACTAAGAGTCAGAATAAAGAAGAATCAGTTCAATATTCTTATTCTATGGGCATATAAGATTCACAGCCACCTTTTGGCATCTAAGCTGAACCAAGATGAGTACAAAAAACAAAATCTAGCAATTATAGTTGGTTTGTAAATAGACTGAACTGAAAGCTGTGCTTTCAATCCTCAAATTAGGCCTCCAAATCAAAATCACTCATATTAACCAAAAGGTTATCTAATTTTTCCTACGCTGATGTCAAATCCCACCCCCACCTCCTGCCAGAAAGGAGCGACTTAGTTCAGCTGTCAGATTTTTATAGAACACTCTCTTTCTGTGAGCTAGACAGACTGCAGAGTCCTAGCAATTCACAGAGATTCCTTCTTAATGCTGGCACTGAGGCCTCTCATTTACAGGATCCATTTCTCAGTGCAAAGTTAAGAGTTGTGAAAAGAAACATGCTGAGGTGGGGAGCTGGGTTACTCAGGTCTCATCCAGGGGAAAATAACTTGGTCTGAATCTTTGCAAGACATCTCCTTCACTAGTGTAATCAAAGAAAGGGAAAACCGGTTTACATAATGGCAAAATATAACGGGCAGATTTATTGTTATAGCTTCTGGTTTCTCTAATGGTCTTGTATTTCTCAAAACTTAAGTTCAGGCACCAATGTCTGCCACTATTTGAAATCGTCAGAGCTAAAAATGAATTATTGACTGGTCTGCAGGTGAAGAAAACAAATCTACTGATATTCTGGGCTTTAACCCTTGACCAGAAAGCATGCACACATCATCCATAATTACTTGGAACCAATCTGGAGTTATGTGACTCTTCTGTGACCTCCTGGGAGGGAGCATTGCTTCACTCCCATTTCTCACTCAAGCCAGGAGTGGCGGGCAGAGGTTTTTCTCCTTAGAATAGCAATGTTGGCTCTTGGAAGTCCCCTTAAAGGGCCATATGAGCTCTCTGGCTAATGTCCCATGTCTCTAGTTATACATTCTGTGCTGGAAGGAGAGTTTCCCAGAGAAAATGTCCTGCTGTTTGGAGAGAGTGATGTCCAGCAAAGGCAGGTAGGTAGGGAAGAAAATACACTCTTCAAAGTACTAAGGATGAGGACAAGAAGTCTCCATTTTCTTCTCCCTCCTGAAGCAGAACAGTGGGTTTTCCACCTTGGCTATCTCGAAGTGCCCTAAAAACCCATTTGGTCAGCTGCAGTGAACAGATGGGCTGGCCCATTATCTCACTTCTGCCCTTCAATATGAACCCTTCCTTTTTCTTCACCCAAATTCTACTTAATCTTAGTGCCCTGCAGGCTGCCTATGTGTGATAAGGGCTTGGCATTTTAAAGAAAGTGATGGGTCATCTGTGACCAATGGTTACTAGACACAGGTCAGGCCCAGGAGGATCAAAAACCAGAGAGAGAGGAGCAAAGGGAAGCAGAAGCAGAGATTGCTAGCCATTCCTCAGTCTCACAGTCCAGGAACCTGAGCCCAATCTGGCCCTGGAAAGGAACATCAAGAACAATGCAGATAGCAGGGCTGTTAGGACAACAGTGCTCCCGATGTGGCTCTCACACACTGCAAGGTGAGCTTGGTTGTCTCCTAGAATGGAACCCTCTCTTTCACATAGGGGAGAGGGATCACTCCCAAAGGGACCCCAAAGGGACCCAGGCAGACAAAGGAGGGAGCTGCTTATAAGGCAATATGGCAAATGCTAATGACAACAAATCCTGTATCTGATATGGAATGGAAGGCTTGGTGTGGGCATAATTCCTCTTAATGCAGGCTCCAATGACCACACAGATGATGATGTATGCACGCGTGCGCGTGCATGTGTGTGTGTGAGAGACAGAGAGAAAGAGGAGAGAGAGAGAGAGAGAGAGAGAGAGAGAGAGAGAGAGAGAGAGAGAGAGAGAGAAAAGCCAAAGCTAAAGGCCCTTCAGCTGCTACTAAAAACAAAATACAAAATGTAAGCACATTTCCTACACAAAATCTTTTTACAAGCTAGGAAAAAAATACATAAGGAGAGTTTTCTATCTTATACAATAAAAAGGCAATTTCCATCTCTTATTTGTATGAAAGAGGAAAGTTTTTTTAACTACAAAAGTTATTTTTAACCATTAAAAAAAATAAAAGTAGGTTGGAGGTTAGGTTGTCTCTTTGGGTGAGCTGTAAAGTAGCCAAACCTGACTGTATGCAAAAGGTAAGAATATGGACACACAAACATCACTGACTCCTGCCCCCTTAATTGAAGCAGGCAGAGGGAAGGCAAGGAGGGAGGCCAGGGAGGAGCGCCTGGTAGGAATGGTTTTCAACAATGCCTGTGATTGGGGACAGGCTTCCCTTCTCTGTTGTGGGAACTAGAAAGCAATGGGCCAGAGCCATGGGTCTGAGCAAGGCGTTGCTCCATCATTCCCTCTGAGTCCATCCAATAGGGTGACACATGTTTAAGGGGATTCCTCAGTAATAATTACTTTATAGGCCTCCAATTTAAAAAACGAAAAGAAGAAAAAAATCATCTGGGAAGATTAGGGATCCCAAAGCCTAGGGGGCTCTCCTAGCTCCAAAGGCCAACAGAAGATTTGGCTACCTTGGATGGAGGCATTGAGTCTCTTCACTGTGGTTACCAGTGGGGAGCCTCAGCAAGCTAATAAATACTATTTACAAATGGGGAGGAGAAGCAGGGGAGGCAGAACTAAGGTCCTCCATGGGGAGGTAGGTGGGAGAGGTCCTATAAGCAAGATGATGGGCAGGTTGGCCTGGAGGAAAAGAGCCTGATGCCTTCAGGCATTGCACTTGCGGCCTGAGAATACCATGGGAGCCCAGGCTGCCTGCACCAGTGTAAGGCAGTCCAGTGGGGGCTCTAGAAGGCAGAGTGGAGGGAGGGTACTGGTATTATGCCCTGGCATATCCAGGGTTGACGGAAGCCTTTACACTAGAGACCTGGTGTGAACAAGGGAGAACAAGAGTCAGTGCTTTGCCAAATCCCAGCAGGTACCATGGCATTTTCTGGGCTAGAGTCTAGGGTCTCAACTGAACAAGAATCATCTCTTCTTCAAAGAGGGGTCACACCTCATGGGGGAGAATCTTTTGGCATGATGGGTGGAAACAAGCCTGCTTGTCCTACTCCCACCTACCCCCAAAATAATTTCCTATGGCAATAAGAGAAAGGGAGGGAGACATGCCAGCTCCCTTCTGCATGGAGTGACAGACATACAAGCAGAAACTCCAGGCTGGCCTCTCATCCCAAGCCTCTAACTCTAGTCCATGTCCTCAAGATCCAGTGGCCAAGAGGAAAAGCTTATGACAAAGGTGGTTTTGGGGTGTAAAGGTAGAGTTAAGGGAAGATGGAGGGTGGAGACAGCCTCCTTAGAAGGTGGTGTTCACCCTTCGGTCGAGTTCTACAACTTGAAGTGTTTCATTCCCCTCCAGTTTGGCACTGACCCTATGGAGAGATAAAAAAGAGAAAGAAGTATTAGTCACCAGCTGTTAGCTACAATTCTCATACTTCATTCAATGATTGCAACCCCATGGACTGGCCTAGGCAGTTTATTGTTGTTTATACTCCTAGTAGTAATTCTTTGCACCCTCCAAATCTCCTGCTATCATCTATATTCCTGCCTTTAACCCCATCTAAGAGTAGACTTTCCAGTCCTGAGGATACACAGTAATTTGATACTGACTTGTTATTATAAATTACTTTAAATTATTATATTTACTAAAGATACACAGTCCTATAACAAACTTTGGGAAGTAGAAAATGAAAGGATATGGGTTGATTCCCACTCTAGAAGAGCCAATAATCCAGATAAGGATTTTTTTAATGAATTAATTTGAGATAACACTAAACACATAATGGAAAATAAATACATTATCAAACTGTGTAATAGCCCAGAAAGTCTCCCAGCATTTAGATGGGAGCTAGGACAGCTTTGTTATCCAGGAGACCTCACAGAAAAAGTGGGATGTGAATGTAGCTTTCAAGTGATAGGCTTAGATAAGATTTGGATTCTGAAAGCAGCTGGCTCTTCTAGAGCTTCCAGTAGTTGCTCCAGATTTTCTTCATAATGGAAATAAAAATAGTGCCTTACCTCTTGGGGTAATTAAAAGGATTTATATGATAACATATTTGTAAAGGGCTTAACACAGTAAGCATTAGTAAATGTTAATGTATACATATAAAAGTCTATACAATTATAAACCTTCTTGTGAAGGGTTAGGAAAAGAAAGATGAAGAATCTGAAATGAAATCTTTCCTACTGATCCCAGAACAGCTTCATTTCTGAGAAGTCAAGGAACACAAGTCACCTTAATCACTAAGAGTATGCATATAGTCTTTCTTGTGCCGATCAGCCCACCCAGGTACCTCCTTCCTGCAATGAACATACTTGTGATCATATCAGCCTTCATGTTTTCAATAGAATTTCCTCCCACAATTATCTAAGAAAAACAACTCATGGAAAACTGGATCCAAATATAGGTTATTTTAAATATTGGAACACGTGCAGGCACAGTGCACTGTCTCTCAATATAAACTTCTGTCTATGGGCTGATTTTTGGATCCCTAATCCAAAAATGTAAACTCTGAAATGCTCCAAAATCCAAAACTATTTTAGCGCCAACAGAATGCCACAACTGAAGAATTCCACACCTGACCTCATGTGTTAAGTCAGTCAAAATGTAGGCAAGTGACAAATATTGTGTAAAAAGATCTCAGGCTATGTGCATAAGGTATGTATGAAACAGATGAATTTCATGTTCACACCTGGGTCTCATCCCTGAGATACCTATTATGTATATGCAAATATTTCAAAACCAGAAAAATTTTGAAATACAAAAAACTTTTGGTGCTGAGCTTTATTTGAAATAAAGGACACTCAATCTCAATAGGTATGAATTGACATATCCATATATACTAATATATAGCAAAACATTTATTTACTCTCTAGTTGGAAGGAAGCTTCAGAATGTATCTAGAAGGTACATTTGTACAGCAAGCCCTCTGCTGTTACCTGGGCTTTGAGGGGAGGGCCCCTCCTCCATGCCTTGGGGCCACCACTGTCAGCTCTAGGCTTGGGGGAACTTAAGGCAGCTGATGACCAGCAGCAGACAGTCCTCAGTGCCAGGTCCTGGTAGTGGGTCCTGAGAGAGCCAAGGAGCCAGTGTGTGCCTCTGAGAGACCCCCATGGCAAGTTGCTAACAAATATACCCCATCATCAGCCGCTAAAGAAGCTAGAGCTGTGCATTTAGGACTTACAAGTGCTGCTGCAGCTCCAACAGCACTGATTTCTCCAAGCTAGTCTCATTTGAGATAATGAAATGAGGAAGATCCACATCCGGCAGAGACTCCAGCCCTGAGGCCCTGAGCAGGGAAGAGCCTCTTTCCCAGCCTCCAAGCTCCCCAGCTGAGGTTGAGGTGGGTGGCTCCTCCAGGGGAGAATGCTCCTCATAGATCAGCAGGTTCCTGGATCTCACTGAGGACAGAGCAAAGCAACAGATGTTAGCAAAAGACCACAGGAGGTCTACACATTCCCTTAGTCCACATGCCCAGGGCCAGTGGCAGGTGACAACTGTTGTGTTCTCATTGCCCAGGGCTGAGAATCCCAAATGGATTTGACTTTCTCTAAAGGCTTCGAGATTTCAGAGTTTGTACTTTGAAAAATTACACCAATTATACAGTGCTGGAAAGAATTACAACAGAAAAGCAAATAAACTCAAAGCCAACTACCCCTGCTTTGAAAATAAAACTCCCCTCCTTACCCACCCATAACCATCTTGAGAAATCAATTCATGGCAAACAGGAGGCAAATACTTGACATGCCCAGACTCATGTCTGGCAAAAGAAGAAGCATCCCCAGTGAGTAGGTCTTGAACAGAGATAAGGTACAAGGCATTTTCATTTAGAATCTGGAGAAAAGATGCAAACCCAAAGCCATAAGTCAGAGACAATCTCTTTTGTTTTATAGGATAGTCACATAACTGGATAGTTCTACAGCAATTTTCCTCGACATAGAAATTCTGTTCCCATTGGCTTCCAAAATTTAGAGAGATATTCCCTTCAGGAAAAAGAACTTGCCCAAAGGCCCTGAAATTATTTTCTTGAATACCAGTACTTTTATCATATACCTGGATACACCTGTGAAGAACACAGACATTTCAGAACAAAATTGTGCCCAACCCAAATTCAGTACCTTCTAACTCCATGCTGGTTTTTATTAGCATATGTGTGTATTTACATACATATTCCATACTCAACACCCTGTATTTCTTAAGTAGACTATTACATACTTATTATCTAATACCCAAGTCTTAAAATTCTCTAAATCTTGGGCATAATGTTTTATAAGACAGACTGATTCTTTAATTTCATTTTATAAACTCTTACTATGGTAACATACAATTCCACTCAATGGAAGCAGAAACATAGAAGTTCTCTTAAAATGTCATAAAAGGCTAAATGCTCCCCTTACTCTGTCCCTCTCCCCTACCACAACTCAAGAGGAAGATGTCAGGACTTTTTCAGAAACATGGTCTGGTCAGCTTGCCAATTGTGCTTTGCAGAGCTCTGGAGATTTCCCAGGGCTGCCCCAGTCCAGTGGAGAGGTGCTCAAGGGGACCCAGCATGCTGGGCCTCAGAACCCCCATATGCAAATGGAGAAGTTCCACTTGTACCATTTTTTAAAACTCGAACTTTCACATAAGCCTCTTTTCAGATAGCTAGGAAACCAGGCTCTAGAGAAATGCTACAACACACTTCACAAATGGCTGAGTGCTGTCTTACCGACGGAGGCTGTGTATGGCTCCTGCAGGGAATGCTGGCTGGGCAGAGCCATCTTGGTGGCAGAAGGATAGGGCCCGTAGCCCTGAAAGAAGCTGCCAAATGCAACAGCAAAGCACAACACAACAACCTGGAGGGGGAGGAGAGAACATGGGAGCTGTGGATTGCAGACTCTTCACAGAAAATCTGTAGATCTGCAACGCCTGGGAGAGCCAAGGAGACAGAACCCCTCTTTCAGGAGGTAGAATGCACTCTCAGGCAGTGGCAGGCCAAGAAACAGCCTTGGAGTAGGCTGCATGGTCTTTCTCCAGCCACACGGCACTTGGCCTTAGCTAGGTAAGAGAGCCTGGAGACAGGGGACTGGCCAGAAGCAGTTCTTTCATTGTCCTTTTGTGAAACTCACCATGAGGCAGGTGCCTGTCTGCGTGCCGGCTAACTTGCAGGTGCGAGAAACCTTCCCCATCACCAAAGTCTGAAGCTTCTGGAGTTGCTGAAGGAGAGTCCTGCCAATGGTGACAAACAAAGCCAGGAAGGGACATGAGAGATAAAAGATAGTTTTGATGACTCTCTACGCTGGAAATTCACAGCACCAGAAGTCATTGCAGCTTTGGCCTGCATCTAAAGAGTCCTGTGGGCAGCTTCCTTGGGGAGAAAATATGGAGACCACAGAGCCCACAGAGCTCAGAATTAGCCTGAATAACACTGTAACAGCTTGTCCTGTTCTTGTGCTGCTCTAAGCAACGGGAGAGTACTCCCAAATGACCCCTGACAGGCTGTGTCCTGTTTGCTAGCCATTGTGAAGAAAATGGAACACTGACTGGATGGTTACTATGTTCTGAATGTTTGTGTTCCCCCCTCCTCAAATTCATATATTGAAACCTAGCCCCAATGTGATTGTAGTAGGAGTGGGGCCTCTGGGACGTAGGTAATAAGGATGGAGCCCTCACAAATGAGATTAGAGCTCTTTATAAGGGGCTGAAAAAAATGAGATTTTCCTTCAACCATGTGAAGACACAGCTAGAAGCCACCTTCTCTGACCCAAGAAGTAGTCCTTACTAGACACCAAATCTGCTAGCATCCTGATCTTGAACTGACCAGCCTACAGAACTATGAGAAATAAATTTCTACTGCTTAAAGTCACTCAAAGTTTGTAATACTTTGTTATAGTGGCCTGAATGGAGTAGGACAGTGGCAATTAAGAAGAGACTTATTTAATTTAACCAAGAGATAAGAACTAATGAAAATGGAAGAAGAAAAGCAAAGAAGAGAAATGACTAGCAAAGCACTGAAGGAGCGGGCAGAGGTGGTGACTGTGGCTGGAAATGGCAACAGACATTCAGACACTGAAGATGGCGGTGGGGTGGGGAGGGGAGAGAGACAGAGAGAAGGGACAGTTTTAAGGGGGCAGACAGCTATTGCTCCTCATGCCTAGTGATGGATCTTGAAGGTTCACAGAACCTCCTCACTCAGAAACCAAGCCAAAATACAAAACAGCAAAGAAGCAAAAGAAACCAGCTTATCTGGACCCTCGAGCTTATAGCCAGGGATCTTGGAAAACAGCCTCTGACATTCATCTTTTTCTAGGAGAAGACAGAGAGGAGAAGTTTAAAAAAAAAAGAAGCTGGACAACTGTGTATCCCCTTAAAAGGGAAAAGTTTGGGGATGAGGATGATGTTACATGCTCTGTACGACATTAGGACAAGCAGACAGTGAACTTCTTTCAAGTCCTGAACACAGCAAGGCATGGACAAGAATCTGACACCACATCCTCCTGATCAGAGCATCTGGGTGGAATTCCAGGTGAGCTGCATTCAGAGATGAAACCCCTTCCCAACCCTTACCTCTTTTACCCAAGTCTAATACACACTGCAAAGTGGAAAGATGTTACAAGCAGACACTTTTCCTTGAGTTCTCAATAATTTTCAGAAAATTCAGATGGTGATGTCATGTGAGAGAGCTATGCAAGTTCACTGGAAATCATCAGCAAATCATTCATTTGCAGAATTCTGGGCTTTCATAGCTATCTTGCATCTTATCAGTCTATCCTCTGAAGAGCTTTTAAACACTAAAAATATAAGCAGGTTTTTTTTTTTTTTTACCCCCAGGGTTTGCAACTTCTCCTCTGGCAAGTCCCAATGAAGAAAGTTCTCTCAGTTTAAGCAATTAAGGGCAGGTTGGCTTCAAGAATGGTATTGCTCTTAGCAGTTTAAATGGATTAAGAATGGTGGGAGAAATGGAGCAGCCCCCAGCACAGGCAGAGAAAGCTTCTAAACTCAAAAACTCCCATGTGGCCCCACCTATGCTGCATTTTTGTCTTGTGGAGCAATTTTAGTTTAAGAAAGCAAAATCATGGCAAAATAGTTTCTGCTGGGTATTGAGGGGGTTGGGGGGAGAGGGAGAGGGCGAAGTGGGTGGTAAGGGAGGGGGGTGGGGGCAGGGGGGAGAAATAACCCAAGCCTTGTATGCACATATGAATAATAAAACAATAAAAAGAAACTATTTAAGGATCTGAAAAAAAAAAAGAAAGCAAAATCATTCATCCATTAATTGGTATCATTAATTTATTTTCTGTTCAATGTGAAGATTCTTTTTGTACTTAATTGTTTGTTTTTTTTGGTTCTGGTTACATGAAAGTATGGCCAGGTGTAGTTTAGGCATGACTTATGTTTATATGTATTCAGGTACGATAGTCTTTGAACGCATTCTGTATGTTACCCAAGGCTGAGAAAGACTTACAACATGATTGTTTAAAATTGTAAGAAAAAGTGTGCACCTTTTTCACCTCATCAAACCTTTTCTCTCTTCTCCCAGGACTTCCCCCCAAACACCTCCCTCCCACCCACCGTCACGGTACTCTTTTAACACTGAAAGCTGAGTCAGTTGTCTACTGCTCAACCACTTCCAGAGTAGCATCCATTCTCTCAGAACTGAGATGTTGCTGGCTGTAGCACATATGCATTGACTGCCATTTGGAATGCCAGCCCCCAACCCTTACCGGGTTCTCCCTGCCAGTATTCCTGGAAATCCTGGGGCAGATATGTAGGTGACTCCACTGATAGACCACATGGCACAAACACTTTTCTCTCATATGCTGGCCACCTCCATGGTACCAATCCATATGGTCTTGGCTTCCTGGTAAACTATGGCCAGGGGCCTCCTTGCTTCCTCAGTCTGCTGAAAAGTCACTTCTTCAAGTGATGGCTGCCATTTTTTTCTTGGTACCTCAACTATGCAATGAGCACTCCTGCTACAGGGGTGCTGATGGCCTCCAGGTGCTGAAGCTTAGCTGTGCTCTGTGCATCCAGCCTTCAGTTAGATGGGAACTTTCCAGATGGTACTAATGCCCTATTACTTTTGCTCCAAGATTTTAAGGTGCTTTGGAAGTGAAACCACCCTTACTATTTTTAGCCAACAGTCCTTGTTTACTGCAAACATCCCACACTTCCTCTTTGCCCATCCCTGGCTTCTTGCCTGGTCTTTAGAGTGTGAACTGCTAAGAAAACAAATTCCACACAATATTTGGAATCACTCCTCCCTTCTAATTTCTGATGAGATAGCTGTGTCTGTTCCCCCTTTCCTAGGACAAAGACTCTCCCAGGAGGCATCATGGTCCAATATACCTTAAGGTAAGACACCCCTCCACACACCCCACCCCATCTGCACTTAGAGATGTAAATGCTACAAGTTTGGAAGAAGGACCATTTAGGTCTGACTAGAAAAAGCAGGAAAGGCTCTGTGCTTGCTAACCGTAGAGTGCTTCACTTGGCATGCATCAGCAAATCCTTCCCAAACTCAAAGATGATTATATGCTGAATCCATTGCAAATGAAAATGGTTGTTTAATGGTCCCTGATTTCTAAGAGTTTATAATCCAGCTCTTTAAGATGAGCAAACATGGAGTTTAAAATACATATTTTGAATTTTGAATTTTGGTGGCATGCAACAATGCGTGATAATGGGCTATTTGCTATTGCTTCTCCCATGTGAGTTGGTGAAGGGAAAATGAACTAATGGTGGAAATGACAACACTCCAAGGCCCCATCAATCAGCAACCCTGAAACATCTCACCAGAGTAAAGTGGATTCACTCATTCTCCCTCAATATCTAAACAGGTTCCCTAGGTCCAAGAAAGTTTGGGAAATTCAAGTATATTCATTCCTACAAAAACATCCCCCAAAATTAACAGTGATTGAGTTCTAGGTACTGAATATGCTACAATACTAAGCATATTTGAGATTGACTCAAAGTCAATCTAATTGCAGTTAGATTGGTCTCCACAGTGCCATAGTCAATAACCTAATATAATTAATAACAAAACACTTCTTAGTTAAATAGATTTTTCTTGAATTCAGTTACATTAATGTCACATTGTCAGTAGCCTGACAGAGAGATATGTCGACTCTTAGAGAGGAAAATGTCACTATTAAAAAAGGACTAAACCATAGAAGGGAGAACTACAAAAGAAAAATCCCAGACACAAATAAAGAGCCACAAGTAAATCCAGTCCAAATGAGAAAAATACTAACAAAATGTCACTGATAGTGACATAGATAAACAGCATAAGGGTAAATAAACATTTCATAGTATATCTTGAGATATATCAAAGATAAAATGCAGATGATAGACAAACGAACCTAGGGTACTCCTTGCCCTACTTCAGGTATCAGAAAGCCAAGCACAGGTTTTATTTAGAAAAATGGAAAAGATAAGAACTTTCCCTCTGTGAGATATCAAAAAAGTGGATGAGATGGTTTTAGGACTTCTCAGCTGGGACAAAGATAGCAGAACAGGAAGATGGACTCTAATGGTAAAGGAATCTGAGTTTAGACTTCAGTACCACTGCTATGTGCTTCTGAGCTTGTGCAGCTAAGCAAAGTTAGTTTCCTTCACCACATCCGTTAACAGGATAGAGGGAGAGTCACTCCTCCCAGGGAACTACAGGTTTGCTGAGGCAAACACATCTTTGAAAAGCACTTGCTATCTCCTTTCCCTGATGCTAGATGAAATGAGCCCCATTCACTGGCTCCCTACCACCTCATAACTGACAGGCTGGTCAGAGACAATGTGGTACTTTCTCTGATGCCAGCGGGACATCTGTCATGACCTGCAGCATTGAAAATTTGAAGAGCCACCATCCTGCTTGTGCAAAAGGCTGAGTAGAAAAAAGGCAGCCATCAATTGAAATGGAAACATTATTTTAAAACCAAAGCTATGAAAAGTCAACCATAGGACAGACCCACAGTACCTTCAAGGCGCAACATACAATTCCCCTTCCTAATGATATTTTAAGTCATCAGTGATCATGGCTAATTATGACTTAATGAATTCTTGGGCTTCTGGGAGCAAGGTCTTAATTTAGAGAAAGAAATACTCTTAGCATACACTTATCTGGGCCAACAGATTTTTCACAACTTGTTAAATTGGAGTGCCCAACACTTGATTGAAATTGTAGATTTTGTCCTATGGTGGGATGTAAAAATAAACTTAGTGGTTATCCTCGTATA